TCCGGATAAAGCCACTAGAAGACCAGACACAGATCTTGGCACAGGACTGCCAACTGCTCCTCCGTACAAGACGAGACCTTCATCATGCTCGCAACTATGCACCACGGACCACGAACCATGGACCATCCTACTTTATCCTCCCGAGGAAAGCCCTTGCCGTCTGAAGCTGCTCGTGCCACAGCGCAGACTGTCACTGCCAATGCTGAAACGCGGCCGGCTCCCTTCCACAAGTCGTTCGATGCCCTCGGAGACGTCCATCTGTGCGTGCGATAAGGCTCCCCGCCGCCGAGCGCGAGCGATCGAGTGCTGCTACTAGCGTGAACATAAACAGAATTATTTCTGTCAGGATCATGAACCGGCTTTTGATCTTCGGCCCTTCGGCCTCATACTTACCCACACACCACCGAAGAAGCGGGGGTCCCGGATCCTATCGGTCGTCACCTCGCCTCACTTGGCCTTCTTCTCACCTCAGGCTCGGGGAGGGGCGGCAGATGGTCGGCCGGGCCCTTGGGATTGCTGAGAAGGACCTGCATGATGATGTGGGGTTCCGTGAGCCTCTAGGATCTGCCAGAGTTGTTGCACTATGCGGTACATGCAAACATTCAGTGTCATTCTGACTGCTCAACGGCGCAAACTCTTCCTCTGTTGGGTGCCTTCCCATTGGACGGATATCCAAGTGAACTTCGCTAGACTCGGATACATCTCTCCATGATGCTGTGGTGGTAAGGTGGTGCTTCAGCCAGTGATCACCAGCGTGGGAGTAACAATTACACGAAAGATGAACCAACAGACCCCGAGTCCCGTGTCAATATCCTCAATGCGGACCCTGCAGAAACCCTACACTAGTCCATCATTGACCGAAAGGCGTTTGCTTTTTTTTTTTTTTTTTTTTTCATAGGTAGACAAATTGCCCAGCGTTCCCCGCCGTCCCGCCTGGCGCAGAGAGCCGTAGTCAAGCTCCCACTGAAGCGGCTGAGTGCGGCGGGCTGCCCCCAAGGGACATCGGCGGGCTCCGGGGGCTCCACTCCACGCCAATGAGACCATCTTACCCCACGGCTGCCGGGCCCTATCAAGCAAACCGGGTCAGTTCGGCCAGGCTCATTGGGTCCCCTGATGGCGTCCCGCGGGCCAGGGCAAAAAAACGTGCCGACTCAAGACGCGACTACGCTATCTATCTCCGGGGGCCTGGCAGCTTTGTGTGTAATGGGTGACGTTCAACGAGGCTAAGGTGAGCTTGAGAGGCAAGCAAAGAGCTCTCAACCTTGCCGTCTTAATATATAAACACTTATCGGGCCCCTCGATGACTATCTCCTCTCCCTCTAGTTTGTCCTCCGTGCCACCTCATCTCATCCCCAACCTCAACAACAACCACTCCTCTCACATTCAAGCCATCACATCTTGCTTCCAGTCCTTTCCAACAGCGGTCCTTATCTCACACCCATCTCATACCCCGTGATAAGTCTCATAACCACCTCTCCCTGTGATACCCTCTCTCAAACCTACAACAACAACCGCCAACATGCCCGCTCTCGCCTCCGCCCGCTACGGCAAGGACAATGTCCGCGTGTACAAGGTCGAGCGCCACGGCGACTCCCAGACCGTCACCGAGATGACCGTCTGCTGCCTGCTCGAGGGCGAGATCGAGACCTCCTACACCGTCGCCGACAACAGCGTCGTCGTCGCCACCGACTCCATCAAGAACACAATCTACATCAAGGCCAAGGAGAACCCCATCAACCCGCCCGAGCTCTACGCCTCCATCCTCGGCACCCACTTCCTCGACACCTACAAGCACATCCACGCCGCCAACATCAAGATCGTCCAGCACCGCTGGACCCGCATGACCGTCGACGGCAAGCCGCACCCGCACTCCTTCTTCCGCGATGGCGAGGAGACCCGCAACGTCGAGGCCCGCATCTCCCGCAAGGACGGCATCGCCCTCACCTCCGCCATCCAGAAGCTCACCGTCCTCAAGAGCACCGGCTCCGCCTTCCACGGCTTCGTCCGCGACGAGTACACCACCCTCCCCGAGACCTGGGACCGCATCCTCTCCACCGACGTCGACGCCCAGTGGTCCTGGAAGTTCCCCGACGTCGCCGCCGTCAGGGCCGCCGTCCCCAAGTTCGACCCGGCCTGGCAGGCCGCCCGCGACATCACCATGAAGACCTTTGCCGAGGACGAGAGCGCCAGCGTGCAGAACACAATGTACAAGATGTGCGAGCAGATCCTCGCCGTCGTGCCAGAGGTCCTCACCGTCACGTACACGCTCCCCAACAAGCACTACTTTGAGATCGACCTCAGCTGGCACAACGGCCTGAAGAACACAGGCAAGGACGCCGAGGTGTACGCGCCGCAGTCCGGCCCGAATGGTCTCATCAGGTGCGAGGTCGCGCGCTCTGCCAAGAACGAGACGGCCAAGTTGTAAGGGTTGGGCCGTTTCTGAGAGGGAATGAGATGGAGAGGATTTGAAGCCTGCACTGCATTTATCCCGGCGTCTATGCATTTTCTACCCGCATCTGGCTGGGTATTTTTTACTGTAATAACGAGCAATGACTTAGAGCAATGATATCAAGTGCTAAATTGCAACGTCTCGGTTCAAATGAGTGATGTAAAGATTATCGTGAGTTCAAGTGTAATAACATGGCGCCCAATTTTAGCACCTCATCTTATGGCAAGCGGGATAAGAGATATGCATCTTAACATGAGGACCAGTCATGATCGTCTCATCGTCATCATGAGCTGAAGAACGTGAATTTGGCCGCGACTGGAAGCAATGGTGAACGAACAATTTTCCGGTGAAATTACGTCTATTAATTGGACGTCGTTCTCCGTCCCCATAGCTGTAGGATATTGCCACCGTCAGATCCGATCAGAGGCCTAGCTTTCTTTAAGTGTTGATTACCAAACTCAAGTAGATAGTTTTCTCATGGCTCAAGTCATGTGTACGCAATAACGTCAACACCATAGCATATGAACGGTCACTGAGCATCAGCTCCATTTTGACCCCGGGTAGGACATTATCATTTCCCGTCCTTGCTTCGAAGTACCTGAAGTAAACGGACATAGAGTATACCAACAGACATATTTACTAGCCATCAAGTGAACTCACAAATGAAGTCTGGGCCGACGTCTTTCTTCACTTCACACTCCACTGGTCGGACTCAATGAAGGCTTTAGGACATGGTATGAGCACTCTTTGGAAACGAAGAGCGTCAGGACGTAGCAAGAAGCAAATTCAAACACAATCAAGAGAAACAGACCGAGCCTCGAGTCACCACAGACGTGCAGTGGCAACACGCAGCCCTCTCTCTCTTCTCCTGTAACATCTTACTTCAAGATCTCAGCAGATCTTCGCTGCCGCTCATACCAGACGCCCCAAAAATCACACTCTTCTCTGCCCGAGGCAGCAACCATCCATCTTCACAAGCCCATTGACGACATCGCAATTCCATGAGACTCATTAGACTTCAATTGAGATGCCCATATTCATACAGAATATACACGCCATACGGCCCAAACCCCTCCACACTCTCCTCCCTCCCCCATCGTCTTATATCCTCTTCGAGTCAGCCTCGCGAATAGCCTTGACCTGCTCCTCCCACCCCGTCTTGCCCACAGGCACGTCCCCGAACCGGATGACGTTCTGCTTGTACGGGTGCGCCCCGCCCTCGAACGCCTTGAGCCGCGCCAGCCTCTTGTCCCGCAGCCGGTTCTTGGGCAGCATCCCGCTGACCGCCTTGCGCAGCACCTCCGCGCCGCCGTGCTTCTCCATCAGCACGTCCATCGTCACCTGCTTTAGCGAGCCCGGCCGCGTGTTGTGCCGGTAGTACGTCTTCTGCCACTTCTTGCGCCCCGTCACGTGCAGCGCCGCGCAGTCCGTCACCACCACGTAGTCGCCGCAGTCCGTCGACGGGTCCCACGTCGGCTTGTGCTTGCCCATCAGCAGCGTCGCGATGCGGGACGCCAGCCGGCCCAGCGAGGGCGGCGTCACGCCCGGCTGCGTCGAGAGCGTCTCGTGCGGCGCCGCGGCCGAGATCTGGTGCCATACTCTTGAATAAGAGAGGCGGGTCTGTCATCCACGCGGGGAAATGGTCAGCGGTCTGGACTTTGCTGCTGGGGAGCATGCAATTGGTGACCGGGGGGAGAAGGACTTACGAGGCCGAGGGTTTGCGACATCTTGAGAACCTCCTAGGCCAGCCGCCTCAGCTGGATTTCCGTCCTGCCGCTTGTTTGATGGATTTTTCCGCCCCAATAGATTCAGGGACAGTCGATCGGCAGCGGGCCAGCAGTCGCGCTCCGTATTTCGTCTTTGGTTGTACGCGGCGGTCGTTTGCGCTGCCCGTTGGATATCGATACCTTCAATTCGCATGACCTGAGCTCTCCCAAAAATTTGGAGACACGGGTGCACGTGACTATACCCGTGATCCTATCCGATAAGCACTCATCAATCTGGATCCCACCCATCGGCGGCTGCGGCGACCGAGCGCCGAACAACCCCCCCGATTACGAAATGTCACAGTTGAGGGGCACCAGATGGCCCGGGCGTCATGGCGGGGCATCTTTGAGCTCGTCACAGCGAGCCGTAATCGCTCTGCTGTTGCGCCTGCTGCTCCGGAACTGCTGAGGGGCTCGCCGGTAAGGCGATTTCTCAGCAAAGGCACCACTGTCGGATCCCACGATACAGGTATTAAAAGGCGCGTATCCGGTTCTCCCATTGGGCGGGCATGCCACCTTGGAAGGGGATAGAAGCAGAACCTCGCAAAACTTCCATCACCACCATTTACAGCCAATCTCCCTTCCAGTGAATAGAAGATTTCCTAGGCTTGCGGAAGACAACGATTAAAACCCGACTGTTGGTCATCCATAACCACTACCTTACACACAGTTAGTTGCCAGCAGGGCAGAGCATGCTCTACTGCCTCCCCGACTTCCTCCACAACTACCGCTCTCTGCTACGAAGCCCGCACCAGCCAAGCGCAAGACTGACGAGACCCTTCACGATGACCGTCTCATATCCTTTTCAGGTTCGTCTATCCTTTCCCCTTCGCCCCCTCCTCCGCTCGCCCGCCCGTCCGCAGCACCAGAATATGCCGTCCTCTCCTCAACTCGTCCTGTTTCCAGACAATGTGAGAAAAGAAGAAAAAAAAGGACCAGCATGCTTTATGCCAAGCCGACCTGCAAAGACGGCGCGGCGAGACGGACTTTGACATCTTCCCTTATTCTTCACCTCGCACACTCTCCCCAAGTCTACTTTTTCTCCATCTGCTGCCCAACCCAGACGTTGTTGGCCGTTCCTTACCAAAGGGATTGCTAATGAAACGCGACACTAGACCGTTTTCGCGGTGCCCATGACATGTGACAGCTGCGTCAAGGACGTTTCAGACTCGTTGTACAAGCTGGGGGGCATCACCAAGGTCGAGGCCGATCTCAAGGACCAATTACTCTCCGTCGAGGGCACAGGTACGCTCCCTTCTGCTGCAAACTCTCAAGCCGAAATGTTGCGGGCTTAGAGGTTGGGCCAAAATTCTGTCCCACCATCATTTTTCCCTTTTCCCCACGGGCGGACTCCCATACGATCTTTTGCCCGCCGGTCAGCTTTTCCCCAACTACCTGCGTCGCACTGCAACGTCAAGTGCTTGGTGAAAGTACTCTTCCTCTCGTCACGATGCTGGGGGGAGGTGGGCTCTTGCGGGCGGTAGTAGGGCAAAGCTATGCTTTGAGGCTTCCAAGGCTTGAGTCTGTTTTGGCTTGGAGGAAATGCCTCTCACCCTTCAACCCGATAGAGTCAAGATTGGCGTCTCGTTGACAATCGTTACTAACCCCTTGGCAACGTTTTGCAGCCGCACCATCCGCCATCGTTGACGCCATCCAAGCCACGGGGAGGGACGCTATCCTGCGAGGTTCGGGAGTATCAAACAGTAGGTTGAACCAAGTCTCTCTTTTCTTCTCCGCCACTCCCGTCCACCCCTGGGCGACAAATTTTCTGCCTGTCCAGCGCTGGCTTTTGGTGTTGCCCAAGTACACATTCTGCATTTCCTGTAACCCCTTGGCGAATATTAAGTTGTTTCTTGATACCACCCATCCCGTCTTGTAGATACCGCCGCACCGGCATTGGCATCGGCAGATGGGGTATTCACTCTTAAACTTGCTCATCTTGACAACTTGACACACGAGCGCAAAGGCTTACTCACCAATTAGGCGCTGCTGTCAGCATTCTCGAGTCTTTCTATCAGGCAGACGGCAATGGCGGTGCATCAAAGTGGGATGATGAGCGAACCCGAGATGTCAGGGGACTGGCTAGAATGGTGCAGGTGTCTCCCACCACCACCCTGATTGACTTGACTCTTCGCGGCGTAGCCCCCGGCTCCTACCGAGCAACAATCCGTGAGTATGGTAACTTGGAGACGGGCGCCTCATCGACGGGCCCTGTCTGGTCGGGAGGCAGCGAAGGCGCCGCTGCCAAGGGATTCTTGGGCACCTTTGAAGTCGGCAAGGATGGAAGAGGCAGCGCCTACCTCGACAAGCCCTTGCAGATCTGGGAAATCATTGGCCACGCTATGGTCGTCTCGAGACAGGATGAGTCTGCGGGGATCCTGAAGAATGACCCGGACACGGTCGTCGGCGTGATTGCCAGGAGTGCAGGCGTGTGGGACAATGATAAGACAGTCTGCTCATGCACGGGCAAGACGCTGTGGGAGGAGAGAAAGGATGAGGTCCAGAAGGGCATGTTGTAGGTGCCACGTTGAATGTTCGTGGGAACCCCTCGAATGATGTATGAGATGGATCACGAGAATGAACAACAGCTTTTCCAGTTGTTTGGCGCTCGGTTGAACAAGCCGAATGAGCTCGAGTAGATCGCCAGTGATAGCACGTGGGGATGGTAGCTGCTGTAAACAACATCGTACGATTTTTGCGATGAACGTTGACGTCGACCAACGCCTACCGGGTCGAATAAGGTCGGCGGCCAAGGCTTCCCATGAGACTGACAAGCCAGACGGCAGGGGTCCTCGGGCTTGTGGTGTGAGAAATGCAAAGAACCACACCACAGGTGGATTCGACATTGAGGCTGAGTTTCTCAAGACCTTGGCATCTTGTCACTCGTTCGGGACAGCATAAGGTAAGGTTCGAGCGACTACCGGGCTTGGATGATTCGCGGCTACCGTGTGTCTGGCTTACTGGCCCTGAGGCAGCGTCACAGGGTGATGGAGTCTGGGGTTTCGGTAAGGTTGTTGGCGCCGTCCATTCTCCCTGGCCCATCCAGTTAACCTTGATATGTGCCAAGCTTTACAAGGCCTGTCTCAGCCAGATTTTTCTGCCGAGTTCTTGATTGTCTCCGTGCTGTGGGACGGGCGGGGGAGCATAGGGCAGCCCCGTCGTGAATCTTTGGCCCAGACTGAAGGCAATGCTGTAAAGCCCTGCGAAGAGGCCCGGGTTAGGGCAGCCAGACAGCCAGGCAGAGAAGGCGTGGCTCCAGCGTCGGCTTGATGCAGATCATGTTAGAGGAAACACTGATGACGGTTCCGGGAGATTCCCCCCACCGATCGAAGACCGGAAGGAGGCGGAGCGCGAGTGACAGGTGGTAGATGAGACGAATACGCGTGTGTGGTTGAACAGGGACCAGAGGCGCTACCTTATTTCTCTGGATCGCAAGGGGGTCGAGGCGGGCCAGCCGTCAAGAGACCCACTGAGGGAGGAGTGAACACAGATGGGCGATGCGGGAGTGGCTGATACGGGTGGGCGAGGGCGAGGCGAGGGCGTGGAGGTGGACGTGGAAGTAGACGACATACATACGTGTAAAGGGGTTAGATTGTGGAGAGGTTGGCCAGGTTTGAAACCAAGACTCGATATCGGATGCGGGATGAGGTGGCCTGGGAGCACAGGTTAGCTAAGGCAGCCAACATGAGGTAATGCGGTGCATTTTTGGCAAAGGAGGGTGTTCGTTGACGGCATGTCAAGGCATCGTTGACAGAACCCTAAGGATCAAAGTGGCACTGAGGCGCCATTGCGCTGAACTGAATCGAGGGCTGCGATGTAAACTTGTTTGACTTGAACGATTCAAGAAACAGTATTTGGGTTACAGCTGATTCAAGGAAGGCAATCGTTTGGTTTGGGGATCTGAGGATCCGGCCGGTGGCCCCGTTGGTGATTTGCAATGCGGGCAACGGACCGTTGAGTTCGGCTCAGTTTGCATTGAAAGCGCACAGCGACGAGATCGCCGCGTCACGGGTGGATTCATCCGTTCGAAGGGATGCCCAGACTTGTGACATTTGATCGGAAAAAAGGAGTCATAGAGAACACCAACGAGGAGCAACTCGGAGCGGAGCGCTGTGGTGCTGACTGACTGAATTGATGGCGTCTGCGGTGCGCGTTCCCGTCTGTGTGGCTCTGTAGGGTCGTCGTACAGAGTCACCTTGGGTCAGGACCGGGAGGCATCCGTAGTAAGGCAAGGTAAGGTAGGTGGCAGGCGTGCAGTTGCAGTCGCAGTCCAAGTCGCAGCGGTGCAAGGCATGCGGCTGGATGCCCCTCGACCGGATGCTGCGTAGTAAAACATGGTGAAGTTCGTTGGCTTGACGTCTAGTTCATGCGGCAAAGTGTGGCTGTTGGTCTGGGCAGGATGGATGAGGTACTGCTGCACCAAGAGCAGGAGGAGAGTGACTTTCAGAGGTGTTGGCTCCACTGCCGCTAGCGTTACAGCGGAAGCTGCCTTCCCAGGCCAAGGCGTCAATGGGGGCCAAAAGAGCGTGGCTCCCCTGCTGGACGGAACGTCAGTGGAGACCCCAGCACGGGACTTTCAAAACAGCCTGAAGGAGAAGCGAGTTTCGCAGGATTTTTGAGACCTCCAGCGACAGGGATAATTAGAGTTGACGGTGCTGGTGGCTGCCAGTAAGGTAGGGAATCTAAGCATTACCCAAGGATTGTTAGTGCTTGTTACTCATCTTGGCCAGCCCCTGATATCGTCGATGATCTGTTGGCTCGCGCAGGCAGGAGCATTCAAGGTGTTCCATAGAGACGGAGAGACAAGCAGGGAAACAGCCGAATTGGAGCCAGGAGGGCAATCGCTGTGCAACGGGTGAGGTACTTGCCCGCGGCATTCGTAAGGTAGGTACGGTACGGGGATGCGATTGCCCTGTGCCCTATGGAACTTTTCGTGGAAGGAGCTTCTTTCCACAAAGATTGGAATGCAAGTCATTGTTCTTTGCTCCTTCTCTCGGCAGCCGGGACCCTCCTCGGGCTTGTGCCGTTTGTTCTGCTTCAGTCCCCTGTCTGACTTACATCATCGGCTTCCTGATGAGGAATGGAAGAGAGATCTCCTTCCATTTCCACGCTTCGACGGCATTCTCGAACACGACAATGTAGTACTCGGCGTCAATCGGCGTTACTCAGCGAGGCCGAATCAATACGGGAGAAGAAAGATCAAGGGGGAAAAACGAAAAAGATTTGCGAGGCAGAAACAAGGACCTGGGATGCTCGATGCTCGATGCTCAATACCTTAGTACGGCATCCACTAGGTAGGAGGCTGGTCAGTGGAAGATGTTCCGTTCCTCTCTTTCCCCGTTCAGGTCGCTCCTGCCTGCTCTTGCCTTGCCTGCCTGCCCCTTCTGCCTCCACAATGCGCGCTACGCATAGCTTAATTGTCCCAGGCGTTAGCGAATCGAGCCTAAGGGAAACGTCAACAAGGTGTGGCTGAGCTTCTTTCACAGCCAAGACTCCTGATCCAGATCCCGGACCCTGCTGGCTGGTACCTTAGCCCCATCAGCATTTCGTGATATCGCACCTTATCCGACATCTTTAACGGCTAACCACATCTTCGGCTTCACCAAGCCAAGTCAGCACTTGCCTCCATACTGAAGCACGGTCTGTCTGCCTATCCGATGCCTCCGCTTCTTGGGCTGGACATGGGCCGTCTGGGACGCTGGACCCGCTGCAGATAAGGTTGTCCAAATTTTGACAAAGACTGGACGAGATGTCTTGTGCCGGACTTGACGCCACAAAGGGGAATGGTGAGGAATCTGTCAACTCCTTGGCGGCCTCTGCTACTCTTTTCGTCCACCAAGGGCTCTGCACACCACCGCCGACGAACTCTCCCCGCCATCTGGACGCATGTCTGTCCGGGTCGCACCACGATGGCTTCATCACACGGCAGCGTCAACCGAGCACCATCTCACCTCATCTTCCTTCATCTCCTGCATACCCCGTTTAGGTGGAATGTGGCATGGTTGAACGGCTCAATACCCCAAATGCAGGAACGTTGGTCCTCAGTACGAGCAGCATGGACTACCGAATCTGTGCCGCAGAGCTGCTGACGGCGGGTCTTGTGTGACGAGCCCTCGGTTTCCTCGCAGATCATCATCGACCAACGACACTACACCATCTCCTTCCCCGCTGTCACCAGCCCAGATGCCAACCAACCGGCCGGTGTCGCGTCGCCGCATTCGCCCTGTGCTCAGATATATGACTTGAGGCGCTCTCATCGTGACACTCTCATTCGACCTCAGCCCGTCACCGACCCAGAACGCCAATCCCATCAGGCAGAGTTTGGCGGCCATGGTGAAGCACATCTCCCGTCGGTTGGATGATGGATAACCTTGTTGCAAAGGCCCGGACGATTCGGCCTGTCCAACTAACAACCTGTCAACCTCCTTCGGACACACCAGCACTCCTTCACCGCCGAGGCGGCCGAAGTGACAGTTGGCCGGGACAACCCAATCACGAGATGATTCCCGGCGCTTAACCTCTCCCATCTGCAGACTGCAGTGCTGGGAACACGGCACTGTCGGGTATGCTATTTTAAACATCTCTCTGCCAAATGTCATGGACCACCTCCAGCGGGCTGGAAATGCGGACCACTTAATCACTCACTGTGATGCGATGAATGGCGGCAGTCTGCAAGCACTTACACCGGTCGCTTCCTGATCTCCATCACCTGGGGGGGAAAAAGCAAATAGCCCGGCAACTGGCAAGATGGGACGGAATGGCCTGCAGCCTTAGTTGCAGTTGCACTTGTTCTTGCAGCAGCAGCTCATCATCACCGGCAGAATCCCCCCTCCTTTGGCACTCAAGCCACGAGGGCCATCACAACTGTGCTGCAAGCTGCATCTCAATTACTACCGAAGCAGAGTTGGCAGTGTGATCAAGGCGGCGTTAGCCTCTCGCCTACGCGCCCTTGGCTGTAGGCGCTGGAGGCTTCACAGGTCCGATCCAAGTCCCGTATTCCTGGCGGCCAATCAGGCACGCCTCGCAATCACTGGAACGCTTCGTGCATGGGAACCGACAGGCCCTGATTCGCAGTGGTTGCAAGATGCCTGCGACACCCGACAATAGTGCATTGCCGTTAAGGGATTGCTGCGTCTTACCCGGCTGGAGGGGGCACACGGCGGGACAGGACAGGAAAGGTCGACAGCGTCCGTCCCTGGGCCATCAGGAGAATGAGAGGCGGAGACAGCCACTCCCCTGGTTTGGCCACCGCAAGATGCGCGATCTGACCCGCCCCGCCCTGACATGGACTCTGACTTCTCGCGAGCCCATCACTCTAACATGAAGGTGTGGTGCCCAGGCGCGTCTCACATACCCCCGGGACGGACGTCGGATGGGATGCCCAGACAGACCAGGGGGGCCACCTCCAGGCCCAGGGGGGCAAGAGAGGCACAGAGGCCCGAGGGAATCCCAACGTTCGATGTCAAGCACTTTCACAACCCAGCATCTGGCGACGAGATATGCAAAGTGGTCCGATTTCGAGAGAAAACACTTGATTCTGTCCCTCAATTTAGACAAGTTTGTTTCTCTGCCGAATGAGCTACCTTGTTGGAAGCCAAAAGAGGGATCTGCGCGGCAACTTATAGTGACAACGGTGACGAGTTGGGGAATGTCGCCAGACGGCGCGGAGAAGTTCTCTCCATGTGTCTCTCACAGCTATCAGAAGACGCTCTTCTGACCACCTCTGTGCACTGATTCCCGAGGCAGATCCTGTGATAGCAAGAGATCGGTCGGTTGCACAACTTGGTCTCTTCCATACCAAGTCTCAAGAGGGCGTGTCAAAATCAAGGGGAGAGACAAGACACACACCCCTCCCTCTCTCTCATCCACCGCAGAGCCCAAGCCACTTGTTCCGGGCTGTTCGCTCCAAGCACCCCCTTCGAGTCGACAGCAAGAAACCACCCCTTGGATGCCCCTGCAACTCGCAACTGGACGAGCACCGGAGCACAGGCATCCTAAGCGTTTCCTGACTGACAATCCAGTGTCCAGTGGGAATATCAATCACTTGTGAGCGGCTTGCATGATATACACCCAGACTCGCGGCCCACAACCCGACCAGTCAAGTTCCCCTTGGTCCCTCGCTGCATCGACTCGACTCTATTTTCTCTACCCTACCCTCCCTTCCATTCTGTAGGCGCTGGCTTTTTCGTCCTGCATCCATTCATTCCCATTCTTTTGCCCAAGCCCAGCTGCACGTCTGGCCATTCCATCACTTTTTGTTCTTGTTGCTCATCACACATTGGGACGAGTCGGGAATTCGATATCACAAGACCCCCAAGACCCAATCCGACCACGAGCCAGTCTTTTCAGTCTTGCAGACCCGCAACAAGCAAGCTTTCATAGTCGAACGACCGTCCGAGGTTCGACTCTAATTAACGCACGATACAATCCGAGAGAGGCAGCGACGCCGAACGACGCAGAGCTAGTGTGGGCAGGACAGTCTATCTTGGTCACCCACTATCAGTCATCCATCCTCCCGGTCACTTTCATTCTTGTCGCAGGCGGGCAAAGACAAGTTTGCGCAAGTCCCTGGAGCTAGACTACCGCGTATCAGGGAAAAGAAGAAGGACGAGGACTAGGACGGACTGAACTGGCCTTCGGACCCCCCTCCCTTTTAGCGCGTTGTCCGACTTACATACATATCCCACCCTCCACCCGTAAAGGGCCATCCCATCCTCCCCGACAACTTAATCCGTCTCTCGACGCACAACGTACACAAACCCGAAACACTGTCCTACTTTTGGCATCTGCTTCTGCTGGACAGGAAAGAAACAGCAGTAACTCTAAAAAAGAAGCAACGCACCTCCAGACTAAGCACGGCAGCGAGACAGTCAGACGGGCAGCCAGTCAGCCAGGAAGACAGGACGCACCTCGCCATCCTCCGCCTGCACCTGCACCTCTGCGCAAGCACCTAGCACACCTGCAGCTGCAGCAACACAGCATCAACCCAGCCAATTCGAAAGGCACCAGGCACCGTTAAGAGGTAGCGAAAACCCTCTTTTTTGCCTGTATCGCATCGGCGTTTCTTGCAGAAGCTTTCGGCACCGTTAAGACTGGGGCTAGCTATCGATCCCTGGTATACCCGCCACGCGCCAAGATCTTCAGCTCCTCTTCTGCTCTCGCTTTCATCGCCCAGCTCCGAATTGCAGCCATTTACAGGTGGAAGCGGGGATACGACTCCAACCGTCATTTCAGTGGCGCCGGGCACACCGCACGGTCACCACCGCCTGTTACTCATTCCCTAAATAGCCCTGGGACCCTCCTCTAGCCGCCCGCGGCACACTTTACTGCCAATCTGGCCCGGTTTGGATCATCGCTTTGGCTTTTCCTTCTCGCAAGTCCGCGCAGTTTCCCCACGATACCCTCTCCGCGAACATCTCCCGCAACATTCTTGCGAATAGCAGCAGCAGCAGCGACGGTCTGCCTGCGCAGCAATCATTCGAAATTGATTTTCCCGTCATCCGCATTTGATCATTCTTCTCTGGCGACAACATGTCGTTGAAACAAGTGAGTTCAGCCATCCGACGGAGCCCAACCACCGCGATACGAAAACCCGACGATCGGCAGAGGCGAAGTCCAAAGCACAAACGACTAACCATGCTTGCCTTATAGGAAATAGAGTCGTGGGTGTCGGCCCTGGCCCGATACGACAACAATGAGTTCGACGAGGCCCTCAAGGACTTCGAAAAGATCTCGGACACCTCAAAAATTCTCTTCAACATGGGTGTCATTCACGCCACTCTAGGAGAACACGAGAAGGCTGTGCGTGATCCCCGCCCGAGCCTACCTCCGAGCACCGCGACTGACTTCACAAACAGGTTGAATGTTACCAACGAGCAATCAGATTAGACCAGTATCTCGCTGTCGCCTACTTCCAACAAGGCGTATCGAATTTCCTGCTTGGTGACTTCGAAGAGGCACTGGCCAACTTCAACGACACCCTCCTCTACCTGAGAGGCAACACCATGATTGACTACGCCCAATTGGGCCTGCTTTTCAAGCTTTACTCATGCGAGGTTCTCTTCAACCGAGGACTGTGCTACATTTATTTGCAACAAAAGGATGCAGGTCTACAAGATCTGTCCTACGCCGTGAAGGAGAAGGTCGTCGAGGATCACAACGTAATTGATGAGGCGATCCGTGAAGAGGCCGAGGTATGAAGATTGCCCTCTATTCAGGAACCGAACTAACATGCGCAGGGCTACACCGTCTTCTCGATTCCTGTCGGCGTCGTTTACCGACCAAATGAGGCCAAGGTTCGCAACCTCAAGACTAAGGACTACCTCGGAAAGGCACGGCTGGTCGCCGCCTCCGATCGAGCAAACGCCTTCACTGGTTTCGCTGGATCTGAGATCAAGAATGTAGGCAGATCGGTTCCCACAACCATCAGCTTCTATGGGAATCAATTTGCTAATCAGAGACTTCTTGGTTTACAGGCTGGCAAGAATGACAACAAAGACGACAGGCCCGCTGATAACATCTCCTTCGCTGCTACCAACCTGGTCAAGCCCGGTCTGGCATCAAGAAGACAACAGTCCGAACCGCCCAACGGTCGCGGCGTCTTCCCGCCTACACCTCCTCCCGACCAAGTCGAGGCCAACGGTGGTGCTGGCGGTATGACGCGCGGACAATCCGTTCGCAACGGACCGAAGCCAATGCTCGCGAAGCTCAACATCGACAATGCCAGAGGAAACGACCGGTACCAGAAGACGAGCAGCCCGAACGACCGTCGGGCAGCGCCGCCCAGCATGAGATCCGAGTCTCGATCGGCTACCCCAAGCCGAGGCTACTCCAGACGCGATATGCAGATGCGTGGCCGTCAGGACGAGGATGCCGAAGATGCGTACCCCGACGAGCTTTACGACATGTACCAAGGTGGCGGCCCCGGCAGCTCTAGAACTAGTCGCCAGACCTCCCGTCGTGTGCCCCAGCGGTACATGGAGGATGAGGAGGACGGCTCCGACTACGGGTCCTTTGATGAGGGTGACTTTGAGATGGTTTCCAACAGACGCCCTGGTACCAACTCAATGTCGTCTCGTGGCGGCTCAAGGAGGCCAGAGATTCGCAAGATTCGCGTCAAGGTGCACGCCGAGGACGTGAGATACATCATGGTTGGTGCGGCGGTCGAGTTCCCCGACTTCATCGACCGCATCCGTGAGAAGTTTGGCCTCCGCAGGCGGTTCAAGATTAAGATCCGCGACGAGGACATGCCCAACGGTGACATGATCACCATGGGCGACCAAGATGACCTCGACATGGCGATCATGACTGCGAAGAGCCAAGCGAGGAAAGCAAGGCAGGATATCGGCAAGATGGAGGTAAGTCAAAATCAAAACGTTCTTCATCACTCGACCATGTTGCTAATTCGATTCAACAGATCTGGGTTCAGGAAATTTAGACGAATTATACCCCCAACCAAGCCACATGACGACGTAATGAACAAATTTGCTCGCCCGAGCCTCTACAACCATTTCCTTCTTCTATTAGTAACACCTTTTTATATCATCATCTTTAGCTGCATTTTCAGGAGATGGAATTCGGTTGTAGACACGGGCGTACAAAACGGGAATGAGACCACACTTCGAGGCAAAAGAAGACACGAAGCTGAAATGGATTAAGTGAGAGAGAGAGAGAGAGCGTGAGAGCCACACAGAGCTGGCTCGATGGCACAACCCCCGACGGCCGCGAACGATATGATCATAGCGTTGCATTGTTTTAGAATCGGAACTGCTTCCAGGGATGAGGGGCGACCGGGTTTTATACCATCACGAGATGGTGGAGGACAGTTGTTATTTTTCTTCTATTCTCCCCTTAACTACTTATTCCCACGAACCCAAGATTTTCTCTCCTTGTCTCGATATAATCTCTTACCAACTATCTCTTTTCCTCTTATTACTCTCACGAGTTGGTTTTGAAAGTCCCGCACATCAAATCTAATGGATCGAGCTACCTATGCCTACTACGTGTACCTTTTAATATCGTCTCCCCTACGTGTGTACGTGTGTACGTATGTGTGTTTCGAAAGGAACTTCTGTGAAGTTTGGTGGGGAGGCTTGCACATGATCTGACGAGGTAGATGTGTCTACAGAAATTGAGAATGGAGATTCAACCGCATGTATACTTGTGTTGTATCGCATGGTGAACGTATGTATGTGACTGCCGTGAACAAACAACAAGTTGGCTGTTTACCCAATGACACGGCCCAGCAGTCAGGACGAAGACAGCTACGAACATTGCGGAGCAGCAAGCCCAATTGAAGGAAGACCGAGTGACCCGATTTCATGACAACATGTTGGCGGGTGTCCAAGATCTTCATTGCCCCATGCTGTGCATGTTTTAATTCGGCTGTAACGAACATGATATCGTACAATACTCCACTCGAAAGGTCTCACTACCGCCATCTGGGCACCAGTCAAGGCGAGTCCAAACCACGCTGGAGGGAGGCACCAGACGTGTACCTATCCCCCGAGCTTTTCTTTCCTACCTCTTCTCTGCTTCCCGACCCCTAAGCAGCACACATGTCAAATCTCAGCAGGGTCTCCTCCTTTCCGAGCAGCGCAAGCTGCAGCTTGGCCGGCTTGGCCCCCCTCAGGGGATCGCCAGTCAGGACCAGCCTCAACAACGTATACACCGCCTTCGTCGCCTTGACCTTCTTCGTCGCCTTGACCTTCTTCGTCGTCCCGTCGTCCTTGGTCACCTGGGTGGCGTGCCGCTCGCTGAAGTCGTTGATGACCTGCTGCAGCCTCGCGGCGCCCCACTCGGCGACCGGCACGGCCTCGAACGACGCGCGCAGGTCCGCGAGCAGCGCCTCCGGGCTGGCGGCGCCGGCGTAGTCCTTGAGGTCGTCGAGCTTGGAGAGGGAGCGCGAGAAGGTGTGCCGCGCGTAGGCGGTCGCGCTGGGGCGGAAGAAGAGCGAGGGGTGCTCGTAGATGAGGTCGAGCGGGTCGACGGGGGAGTCGGCGGCGAGGGCGCGGTTGACGCGCAGGATGTGGGCGGGTGCCGTGGCCGGGTCGGCGAGGACGGGGGTCAGGCCGGAGAAGTCCGTCGTCGAGAAGGCGTGGCGGTGGTTGGTTGGGTTGGTGAGGTACTCCTCCTTCTTGGCGGCGAGGAGGTCGGAGATGGAGGCAAGGAGCCTGGTCGACACGGGGACGATGGTGCGGCGGAGGAGGGCGTCGTCGGCCGGGTCCTCGCGCAGGCGGTGGGTGAGGTGCTTGCGCTGGATGACGGCGAGCTTGTCCGGGTTCGTCTTGATGTTGCCCTTTGTGAAGCGGAGGGAGAACTTCTCGGCGAGGGCCTGGGTGGTGTAGATGACCTCGCCGTCCTTCTTGGCCAGGTCCTTCTCGCTCATGCTCCAGCCGAGGAGGGCGAGCCAATTGTTGAGGGCGGAGGGGAGGATGCCCCTGTCGCGGTAGGAGGAGATGTCGATGTCGTGGTTGCGCTTGCTCAGCTTCTCGCCGTTCTGGGCGCAGAGGAGGCCGGCGTGGGCGAATGTGGGCGGTGTCCAGTTGAAGGCGTCGTAGAGGGCGATGTGCTTGGGTGTGGAGATGAGCCACTCGGCGCCGCGGATGACATGGGTGATGTTCATGAGGTGGTCGTCGACGACGTTGGCGAAGTGGTAGGTCGGGTAGCCGTCCGTCTTGATGAGGATGAAGTCGTCCTCGTCCTCGCTCTTTTGGTAGTTGCCGTAGACGCTGTCGACGAAGGAGGGACGGCGGCCCTGGGCGTTGAAGCGGACGACGTGGGGTTCGCCGGCGGCGGCGCGGCGTTCGGCCTCGGGGACGGGGATGGTGCGGCAGGTTCCTGGGTAGTGGGCGGTGCCGCCGCCCTCAAGGGACTGTTGCTTGTGGCGCTCGAGGTCGTGGGATGAGCAGAAGCAGCGGTAGGCGTGGCCGTTTTCGAGAAGCTGGGAGATGTTGTGTTTGTAGTGGTCCAGACGTAGTGACTGTGGGATGTTAGACGTGTATAGGAGGAGGATGAAGGGGTGAGGCTTACTTGTTGGTAAGGACCGAACTTGCCGCCGACGTCAGGACCTTCATCCCAGTCGAGCTCTGCCCATTTCAGATCGGCAAGAAGACGGAATGTGGCATCCTCGACGATTCGTGTCTGGTATGTTGTGAGTCCTGGGCCCTCCTATGAACAATGACATGCATGAGCCGTCCTCACCCGATCCGTATCTTCAACACGGATGATGAACTGTCCTCCCGTGGCCCGCGCAATGAGCCAATTGAACAAGGCGGTTCTTAATGAGCCTAGATGGAGGTATCCGGTTGGTGAGGGAGCAAAGCGTGTCCTGGCAGGCTTGGTCGGTAGGTCTCTCAGCTTTCCATCGGCCAGGGACGGAAGCTTCTTCCTCAAGGCCTCAAATCCGCCCGTCTTCTTGGCAGACGAGTGCCATCTCGGTGAGCTTGCGCGACACTGTTGGCAGGTGTATGCTGATCGTTGAAATATTGACCTGCTATGCGGCCGCAGGGCTATTGTTGACATGTTGAGAACATGAGAATGGCGCAGTCCTGAGATTCACCAATATCCTCCATGAGTGAGCTGACCTTGGGTGAAATTTGACGATGAGCTTCAGCCACATGTGGCGCAGAGGCAGATATGTACAAAGCGAGGTACCGACTTACACACCACAACCAGGTCACCGGCGGCGCTTCAAATCACCAACAACCCTGCACACTGGCACATTCAGAGCGATACAACGCAATGCCCGAATTGAAATGGTGGCCGTACGGCAATTCCTTGATGTATCCAAGCCAACCAGATTCTTAAACGTTTTGGGTTTCCCAAGATTCAGATGACACTAGTCATACGAATGTCAAACCCTGACCTCTCACTTCAAGCTGGCCAAGGTTTCGACGACCTTCTGGCAGTTGTCCAGTTTTGTCTTCCAGATTCTTTCTCGGTATCCTCGGGGTTGGTCTGATGACTACGTTCGGTTGCCTGTGAAAGTCGAAGATGCGCTGCACAGATTCGTCTGTACAGCGGACCTCCGTACAGGCGTGCTGCTCGGTGCTTTGCCTCAACTCCGTACGCCTGCAATTGCCAATGGGGCAGCAGTCTACTACTCCATTTTCTTGCTATTTGTTTTCAGCATCGGTATCGTGATTCGTCCATTACAGAAAGTGCATGGAAACCGGTGGTTGGGATAAAGGGAATTTGGACACCGCCTGGATGAATGATGAGCAGCTGCAGTGCAGGCGGGGTGGGTTGGAGACTGGTCGCATCAGGTTCCTACAGGCTACGGATAGCAACCCGCGCCCAGCTTACCTGATATCATCTGCCGCGCACTCGCTACCTGGACAGGCTGTAGGTACCTAGGGACCGCGCGCCCCATAAGGCACTGGATGCTGGCAAAGTACCCCGCCAAACCACCAGCTGCAAACAGGTACTCTAGACAAATATTTTTCAGGCCGACTCCACATCCCACCTTTTCCACATCACCAAACCAAACCGCCGAAGGTTGAACATCTCGAGCGAAACATTTGCCGAGTACACCTTCAGAAAATTCTCCATCATGGACAGTGGTGGACCAAGTGCCGGTGCTGACGCCGGGGCGGAGGAGATCGATCTCTACGGTAAGCATCTGAATTGTCTATGGAGCCCTTTGGGGGGTACCTTTTTTTGGTCGCGGTGGATCACTTCTGACGCATTTTACCAGAGCTGCTCGAAATCGATAAGGATGCGTCCCAGGACCAGATCAAGAAGGCATACCGAAAGGTTCGTGGCCACTCCCATCTCGCGATCACGCCCAACGTTGAACTAACTTGGCCCCTCCCATCAGGCTGCCCTGCAACATCACCCCGACAAGGTCCCTGAGGATCGCAGAGAAGAGTCCGAAGCCAAGTTCAAGGCCGTCAGTCAGGCCTACGAGATCTTGAAGGATGAGGAGAAGCGCCATCTCTACGATACCCACGGCATGGCCGCCTTCGATCCCTCCCGCGGCGGCGGCGGTCCCGGCGGCGTCGAGGTCGACCTGAACGATATCCTGTCACAAATGTTCGGCTTCGGTATGGGCGGTCCTGGCGGTCCCGGCGGCGCTGGCCCCAGGCGGCCTCGTCGCGGTCCCGATGAGGACCAGCCGTACAAGGTCACACTCGAGGAGCTCTACAAGGGCAAGACGGTCAAGTTCTCTGCCAACAAGCAGGTAGTCTGCGGCACCTGCAAAGGATCCGGCGCCAAGGCGAATGTTAAGCCCCAACAGTGCGACAAGTGCAGAGGCGCCGGTATGGCCGAGGCCTTCCGTCAGATCGGACCTGGCCTGGTGCGCAAGGAGACGGTCATCTGCGACCGCTGCGAGGGCTCTGGAAACTTCTGCAAGGAGAAGGATCGTTGCAAGAAGTGCAAGGGCAAGCGGACGACATCTGAGACCAAGGTGCTCGAGATCTACATTCCCAGAGGTTCCCAGAACGGCGAGAGGATCGTGCTAGAGGGAGAGGCCGACCAGCTCCCCGACCAGACTCCTGGAGACATTGTGTTCCACCTGCAGGAGGAGCCCCACGACGACTTCACCCGCATCGGCAACGACTTGTCTGCTGAGCTGACCGTCACACTGGCCGAGGCCCTTGGCGGCTTCTCCAGGACTGTGCTGACGCACTTGGATGGTCGCGGTATCCACCTCGAGCGTGAACGCGGTAACATCCTTCGCCCTGGCGACATTCTGAAGGTGCCTGGAGAGGGTATGCCTCATAAGAGGGGAGACGCAAGGGGCGACCTGTACCTGATTGTCAACGTCGAGTTCCCCGAGGACGGCTGGTTGAAGGACGACAAGGAGTACGACGCTCTGAACAAGCTTCTCCCGCCCCCTCCTCCCGAGATCAAGGCGGACGAAGTTGACGAGGTCGAGTACGAGGAGGTTGACAGCCTGGACCAAGTAAGTTTGAATCGTTCCTATGATGCTGGCAACACGCGCTAACAGAGTGTCTGCAGATGGGCGGAAACGCCGGCGGACCAGGATTCGGAGGCGAGTGGGAGGACGAGGACGAGGAGGATGGCCAGCCCCAGTGCCAGCCGCAGTAAGACGGCAACATATAGAGACTTTCAGAGGACAGAGTCTTGGGGCACGATGCCCCACGTTTCATGACAGACATGATGACAACCCCGGATGGTGAAGGGTGAAGCATAGACACGGGATCTGGAGAGGAGTTTTGTAGCTTGTTGTTAGCTTGGGCATCATCCCCCTTCATGAATGAACGGTGCCCCACGGATCACGGGTACCATGTCTTTTCTCAACCTTGATGGCGTCCATCTGCGATATACGCCGGCAGTGACTCAAACAAGCAACGGACGTGCCCCTTTGCCACTCTTTACCAAAGCTCACATCAAAGGGGTATAGGCATCTTGGCTTCCACCTTTCGCAACCAACGCTCCAGAGCTGCATGCGGCCGAGTTTAGTTCCTCGTCCCATTTAGTGTAGTGGTTAGCATACCTCGCTTTCATTCTATATGGATCACCGAGGAGACACGAGTTCGAACCTCGTAGTGGGAACTTCGATTTTTTCCCTTCGCTCACCTTTTTGATCTGTCTAACTTTCCTGTGTTTAGGCGACTACATCCCCGCATACAGGTTATTCCGGTGAGGAGGACGTCGATACATGACGACGACGGGACGATAGATGGCAATGATAGATAGCGACAACAGTAGTAACAACAACAATAGTACTGACGGCATCAGTAACGAGCAGCAACGACAGTACTAATGACAGTAGCAACAATAGCAGCAGCAACAATGGCGGCTTTCTTGGCAACGACGATAGCGAGCACATGTGAGATTAGTCGCTCTGGCACAGGAAAAATAGGGGGTCTTTTTTGCCTCGACATTGCCCAGCGTCTTTGATGCGGCGAGTTGAGACGAACTGGCTTCGCAGCAGAGCACAATTTTTAGTGCGGCACTTTCGGTGAACGTAGCGGGGTCAAGGTGAGCGGCTTGGTGGGGCTCCTGAACTGCAGATGGCCTCCCCTGCTGTTAGCGCCTACCAAGACAGGCGAGCGCCGGTACGTACCTCCCACACGTGTGCGAGCCCTAATTAACGGAAATCGTGCGTTCAGTTGAGCCATCCGCTCGAACCAATTTTTTCGCCAGTTCCGAGTCTCGACGTCCAACACCACCCCGACTAACCACAGCCAGGAACAACCGTCAAGGTGAGAATCGAGTCGCCCTGCTCTCCTATCGACAATTGCAATAATTGTTGCCGTCGTAATTTCATACTGACATTTTTTCTCGTTCAAGATGGTCGCCGCAAAGAAGCACGTCCCTATCGTGAAGAAGCGTATGTCCTTCCTCCCAGAACGCCAAAAGCCCACCCGATACACCCCGCGCCGAGAACACAACGCGACGATGAAAGCCATTACGCGAGACAGATGCGAGACCTTTGGATTAGAACGAGACGATTGACGGATGTGTGTTTACAGGCACGAAGCTCTTCAACCGCCACCAGAGCGACCGCTTTATGCGCGTTGACCGATCATGGCGCAAGCCCAAGGGTATTGACAACCGTGTTCGCCGTCGCTTCCGTGGCAACATGGTCATGCCCTCGGTACGTTCAGCACCCATCCCCTCGGAGGAAGAGAGAAGTTTTGGAAGAGGGGGAAAGTTGGATGATCCAACTGGGAAACAACAGAGGGGTACTTTCTTCGCGAACAATCGCTGACCAGGACTCTCGCATTTCAGATCGGTTTCGGCTCCAACAAGAAGACCAAGTACATGATGCCCTCCGGCCACAAGGCCTTCCTCGTCAGCAACGTCAACGACGTCAACCTCCTGCTGATGCACAATCGCACCTACGCTGCCGAGTGCGTACCACCCAATCCCCAACGATGACCGACTTTGCGTCCCTCACGAACAATCACTTCTAACACTTCTTTCAGGATCGCCCACAACGTCTCCTCGAGAAAGCGCATCGACATCATCTCCCGCGCCAAGCAGCTCGGCGTCAAGGTCACCAACCCCAAGGCCAAGGTCACCACCGAGGTCTAAGCGGAAGAACACTCCGTTTTGGTCGTTCGGATGGGGTCCTGTCTTTTCTGTGGAACATAGCAAATCCATTCTGGGGGAAAGGGGCGCGTGGGTCGACGAGGGGGGAAAGGGTTTACGGTTTACACTTTGCGTTGGTGTGCTCTCTACCCCTCTCGGTATTCTTATCTTTTGCTTCTCCAGGGATATAACGGGGAACAAAAAGAGGAATAAAACAAAAGAACTTTGCATCGGATAACGGTCTACAACACTGCGATGATTCAGGAGGGTTCTGCTGCGAGGCCTGGCATGGCAAATCGGTTTACCGTTGTGCTAGGAATGAATACAAAAGAAAAAAACGCAGCAAATTTGTCAAACAGAGCCAAACGACCTTGATGCATTGCCTGGCGTGTCCTCCGGCTTCGAGGGTGGTTCGGGACATTTTGGTACTTCATAATGGCGTTAGACGGCATGGAAAACAAGATTCTTACGCTCAATTCGAAAATGTCACCACCTCCCCAGTTGGTTGGTTGTTCTACGAGGATCATGTTTGCCAGCTTCCATGCGCAGTGACAAGTCGGCCTTTCGGCTGAGGAGACCTCTGGGGTGTCTGCCAGATGGGTGTCTTCCAACGCCATGCCTTCATACCTCTGGCATTTCGCGAGATGACTCTCACGTTCAGCTGAATGCCTTGTGTTTCCTCTGGGCATGTCTGTCATTGGCGCCTCGTCAAGCATCAACAGTCGAGCCGGGGCCATAAGATAGAAGATTTCCGAGTTCGTTAACGGTTGGCTACACGTACTCCAACTTTTGCGAACTATATTGAGGCATGCTTCCCACCAGGGTGTCACATCGTGAGCTGGAAGGTGGTGTCGTTATTGAGGTTGGTTGTCAAATCATGCGATCCCCAAATTCCGGTGCCATCTCATGGCCAGGAGGACCTACCAAATCAAGACATCGCCTAGCCATTATGCTATCAATGAAGAAAAGTATTCATTATCTACCTAGGCACGACTCTCGTCGTCCCGCCCAAAGCCATCACGGCCAATTCAGTCGCAACGGCGGTGACCCAATAAGGACAGACAAGTCAGGAAACGCTCGCACTCCCAACCCAAAGGGCTCATAAAGCAAAACGCCGGTATCCATGATCTCATAAAAGGTAAAGTCGTTCGTCCATCATCCCAAGACTGTCGTCTGGGGAAATCAGGAGGCAAGAAGTAGGTAGGCAGGTCCCAGACCTGGTCGCGGTAGCGGTCGCACTTTCAGGGCAACGACACGCACACTTCATAGCTGCGTCGCCTCTACCTGAAGCAGTTGAAGCGACCGATGCGGAAGCGCCAAGGTCCGCGGCGGATGCCGTGGCGGTCTGCGTGGACGCTCGTGCCGAAGTTCTTGCCGCCGATGGGCTTGGAGTAGAAGAAAGGCATGTTGAAGGTGTGTTGGTGGGTTTTCTGGTAGAGAGTGTGTCAGTCCGAGCTTCTGGGAGGGGGCTCAAGCGTTCGCAAGTGAGGAACGTACGTTTTTGGATTTGCTGGTAGACGGTTGGTTTGCAGGAAAGCTTGTTGTGGTGAAGTGAGGTAGTTCAGACTTGGCTTGAAAGGTGTCAGTCGATGGAGGAGCCAAGAAGGAACGGGCGGCATATATACCTTCTTCCTGTCCTGCGTAGCGTGTGACGAGGGAGCCAAACGGGAGAAACTAACAGAATGACAAGCTCGCTTGCGTCCTTGATTGTGGTGGCACAGTGAGCTGCCTCTCCCTCGTCCAAAACCTGGTGGTGGTGGTATTGCCAAGAGCTTCTAAGTGATAGGTGACGTAGCGTGGCTGAGCGCGAGGGTGGCTGTGGCTGCGTGACGAAGGTTGGTCGCGGTGCTGCGTCGTTAGCCAATCAGAGATCGCTGAAGGCTCAGATGAGCGAATGACGATGTGGGGCGTTGTGGCTGCGGGAGGGTCCGCCAGACAGAGGGGTCGGATGTGAATTTAAGTGGTTGGAGATCTTGGGGTGATCATGATCCGAAGTTAAGGTTACTCGAACCGCTTCTTTCGCTTCGCCAGCCATTCTACTTTTGTGCATCCGAGCCGATTGGTTATTCATCGTCCCTGAAGATTTCGGCGACAATAGCGGTCTCGTTCTTTGGACCCAGTCCACAGAGACAAGGCACTGAAAATCAGAAACACCAAAGAGGTAGGCTCGCTTGACAATGTTATCCGCTGCTTTGGGGCAAGTTGCGACAACACAACGCGAGAGAGCTCTCATTCGAGAGCAAGATAAGAAGTCCCTGAAGGCCTTCAATCATCAGTAAGGCACGCTGTCAGACATGATATGTCGTGAAGTAGACCAGCTGCATTGATTTAATTCAGTCCCAAACCCTCCAACTCCATGTCTTGATATACGTCGTTGACCATTGAAGAGTGAGGATATTCACATGTGGGCGGGTGTGATCCACGAGGTATATCATGTGCCCCGTCCCGAAAGCTTGCTCAACTCATAACCCCTCCTCAAACACTAAAGCCTCAGCAAGATCGATTAATCAACTTGCCACTTTATCTTACAGCCGAATTCTTTGTCAGTTCAAATGATCGTCACAATGCCCAGCTATGCTGTTCATGTCCACGCGGATCGAAATGACCTAGAAACTCTCCTTGCACAAAAACATTGTCTGAAGGTCGCCATGTGCGTCCAGCCCAAAACGGCTGCCCGACCCTTCGTTTTTGACGTTTTATATCAAAATGTCTCTTTATCCCCTAATATGCATGTCTTCTGGACCGGGCAATATGCGCTCAATTGGATCTCTCATGTCCCAGCAGGCGGGACACGGCTGGAAAATCTCAACGGAAACTGGCAACCGTGTCATATTGGAGAGTCTTACTCCCTGCACAGGACTGGAGACTGGGATAAAGCTACTATCTCAGGGCTTCCGGAGAATAATACGATTGAAGTTTCCGGAAACGACTATGGAAGCGTTCATATTGTTGTGGGTTTGCAAAGATCTGATGCTAGCGGAGACAACAGTTGGTTTCCAGTAAGTAGCCTTTGGTTATCAATTTCTACGGACACTTTCTCATCTAGGATCTTTCAGATCTTCGTTGATAGATCTGAACTTGCCAAGGGAGGGCATAGACGATATGAGCTGGACCAGAGGATCAAAGTGTGGTTCGGCACAAGTGAACCAGATTCAACAATGATGTCGTCAGCAGGACCTTCTTCCCCCAATGAATCGGCTCTTGAAAAGATTGCCTTTAACAAATCAGAGATTTGGGTGCGATTTGATACTATGCGGAGAAAATGGGAGACTGTGGGCCCCTGATGTAAACTTGGCGTAGAAGGACAAGAGGCTAGGCCGCCAAGGTGTGGGAGCTTATGTATGAACGTTATTATTTTTCAATTCTAATGAGTCTCTGCGTCTTGTCAAACTTCGAACGGGGTGGAAAGGTCCAGTTTCACTGTTGCGACGCAACATGGATGACGGAACTCGTCTTATGATGTATGCTACTACACAAACTAGACATATGAGATTAATGTGTTTTAATACCTTTAGTACTTTGCAGCCTGATATAAGGCTTTTGGAGGCTTCTCTTCGGTCTAATCACAAAATACTGAGTTGCTTGTCATCTATCTTCACACCCCTCCTCACTGCGGTATATCAGCAACTTGACCTCCCAAGTTCACCACATACGACCATACCCATTGGAAAACTCGGGATCCCGTCCGCTCTCCCATAGATAAGCCAATGAGGGCTGGAGTAGTAGTCAGGTCGGTGACGACTGGCGAATGCCCGGTGTTGTATGTTTTTGGTGTTTCTCCTCTTTTGCCCACCTTTTTGACCCCACCACGATGGCTCCCATCGTGAGCCACAACCAACTCAAAACGTTAGCAGAAGTCTCTTCAAAGCGCTGGAACCATTGCAGAGACTCTGAAATTAGTCTCAAATATTATAAAGTCTATTGACTTGGACTCCCATCTTAAGAGATATTTGGCTCCTGAGAAAGTCATGCTGAGTGTCCCCCCAACTTACACCCTTTTGGCCACGGCGAAGAACTGAAGGCAGCCCAGACGTAACCTTGATGATCACTTGAATCGTAAGCTTTGAGGCAGACCACCTCTTCGCTATCTTATCGTCCCATCTTCACCAGACATCAACCACAAGCACACGTAGTCTTGTATTACGATCTCCACATCGATATCTTCACACACTCATCAACTCCCAAAATGGATCGCCTTCTCAGGGACAAACTCCGAAACGCACCCTTCAAAGAAATTATCGATGGTCAACTCAATCCGACCTACCTAGCCGTCGCTGCCCGAGGATACCACATCCAATCCTCAGTTCTCCGCATCCCCGATCGATACGGCTGGTTCACCCCTGGCTCGCCTCGACTCCAGTGCCGCCAAGGCGCCGCCATGAGCTTCTGTTTGTTTCTCTTAGTCCTCTTGACGGCCTTGTACGGTTACACTCTTTACACGTTGAAGTATGTGCACAAGCGCCAGACAGAACTAATGGAGTGGATGTTCGGGATATCGCTGGCATTCGTGGTCTTGGCCCCGTGGCTTGCAATGCATAATGATCCGCGCCGCGCACCGAACTACGAGTGGAAGGATTGGGGGAAGGGGCGGAAGGAACAGCTTACGCATTCCGACAGCAATAATGAGCAAATGCCCAACAAAATCTGAAGAGCTTGCCGCATTTCATAGCTGAATGGGAGATGTCGCCCTTTTCAGCAGCTTGGAATCTTCCAGGTCCATTTCCAAGTCTCGCTAGCCAGGCAGTGTCAGTTGGATATCCGAGCAGTTTCCACTATACTAGATATAATACTTCTATCAGGAAGATAGCGGTATGGAAAACGATAAGGACGACGATGGCGACGACGATAATGATGAAGGAAGCAAGTACATAGGAAATATAGTCGCTTTAGCGTTGGTGGTCTGGCAAGATATACGGAAGCACATGCGTGTGTAGACACTGCCCGGATAGCCAACTGACACCGCGAACTCGCATTTTTATCCAAATATGGCTCATATTGTGATAATACTCCTTGAAAGCAGCATTGACACACCCGGGAAGAAGTCTACGGCCAGAGTACTCCAACTGTCACGACGGTCCTAGTCTGCTGTCCTTTCCCCTCGACATCAACCACCGCCCTTATTTCTTCAAGACTGACCTCCTCCACCCTTCTAAGGAACGTAGTAAGTTTCATCGACGTGTTAGAGCACTAAAGCGTTCGGACTTAGATATCTGAACATCTCTAACCAGGACGTATCAGAGTTGGACGACCAGACCGCTTTGAAAACGGACTTCACGGCCTCAATCGAAGCAAAGCGCATTCCGTCGTAAACCACATCAGCCATGCCTAGAACGGACTTCTGCTCCTCTGGACATTTGACATGGGCTCCTGCAACGAACAACGGGAAAATGATGCAGTTGCGGACCTTCGCCTCCTTGGGGATTTCGAAGATACAGGCAAGGCAGGACTTGACATGTTGCTGGACGAGTGGGTGAAGAGTTGGAAGACCACATATGGCTCTGTACAGGTACAGCAAGGCGGCGTGCTGGAATATGCGGACAAGGGTAAACGCGTGTGTAGCTTCCGCCTCAATGACGGAAGAGGACTCGGATAACTCTGAAGGGCTACGGCCGTCAGATTCCTCGAGGGACGGGGGCGCGTATACAGGGCGGAGGGCAGCTTCGAATTTGTGGATGCGGTCCATCGACAACTCTTCAGTCATCTCAGCCGTTGCCTGCAGGTACTGGCTCATACTCGCGATCTCGCGAAAAACGGACGCGAGAGAGCATCTACCCAAAGGGTCACGGCCCCACCAAACGGGGCCCCGATCAAGAAGATCCCACACTTCGGGGGCAAAGCAAGGAGGCCTTCCTTGAATCATGGATGTTGTGAGATCTGTTGTCGCAAATTCCGAGATCAGCATGTGCAGCGGCTCGGCAGCCGTCTGTATCACGGCGTCGATGCCACCTAGACGCTCGAGAATAGCCAGGATACCACTGTAATGGCTAGAGGTCGATGCTGAGTTGAGGATACAGCTCATATATCCGTCGTCGAAGTACAGCAGCATGACTGCGAACAGAAGCCCGATCATAGGCCCATTACCCTGCGCGTCGGCACAGCAACCTTCTATCTCGGCCCGCACGGCAGAGAGGCATTCAAGCCGCTTCTTGCAGAGCACATCGCGGGCATGCTTACCGTCTTGCAACAGCCGATGAGATTCGGAGAGCACGCAAGTGGCAAGTAGCACGACTCGGTATTCCAAGGCGACCTGGGTTGGGGGAACGCAAGGCTCTTCTGAAGCGGAAAGGAGGGGCCAGACGCGACAGTGAAAGTAGTCGAGAGCACGCCGCTCGCACACGTCGATGGACACGGTCAGGTGCAGATCGTTCCGCGGAATGCTATACGGAGACAGCATATGAGGACTCGGCCGGGAACTCCATCGTATCAGTCGGCTGTTGTAGTCACACGTGGCGCCGGAAGAAACGCAGCGTAGACAGGCTGGCTTGGAGAGGTCGCATTTGATGCGGCGCTTCTTGCAGGGCCAGCAAGAGCCCTTGACGATCCTGACCCGTTTAACCGGCATGGTACGCAACGATTTCTTCTTGGCAATTGGTCATGCACTTGCGTTTGATACCGAAGTGGAACGAGACGTTGGGTTCTCTGTGCATTCGAACGTTGCGGCTGGCGTTGACGAGTAGCAAAGTCTATGGAAGTGATCTTGTTTAGCATACGGACATATTGAAACAGATGGTTTGTCAGTAGGTCTGTTGAGCCGAACTCACATGCTCCATAACCATCGAGCTCTCTTTCGAGGTCGACGACAAAGTTGACTGTTCAATCGGCGATTCCCCTCGCATGCGGCAGCGGCAATGCGGATTACTTGACCGAAGGGTGTATCAAAGCGACGCCGGCGTTTTGAAGTGAGAGGCAGATTTTTCCCTCAAAATTTTCTGACGTAGCTGCGTCGAAAAGCGAAAACCAAATGTCTGCCGTTCGACTGAGGTTGTGAAGATGGGAGGATGAGAGAAAGAGGAACCTGGTTCTAGAACGGCTCTAGGCGGGAGCACCTACCCCAGATTCCGGTAGCAGGGTGGGCATTGGGTTGGGTTGGCAGGCACCGAAACCCCCTGGAAGAAGGGAAGATTGGACGCCCAAACAGCTTATCAGGCGGATAGTGGAGTAGAGATTCGCGGGCGGATTCTCGGCACATTAGCCAACAAGCAATGACGACCCCGAGATCTTGGTCCAATGACACTCTTTTTTTATCTGATGAAATCACGTAATCGCAAACTACTTGGGTTATTCGAAGCGTCATGAAGCAAATCAGCCCTATATGGCATACGGTGTACTTGCCATAACACAAGCACCAAGAGCAGCATTCGAAGCACGATACTGATGATGATAAGTGGCACTGAATTTGAATTTCGGAAAAGACTGCTGAACTACCAAATCGAACGAAGGCAACGGCACGAGACTACCAACTCTGGTCTCCCAACTCAAATACTCTACAGTTTGCTGTCCCTGCTGCCGCAGCAAGACTCAGCGGCCTCAGACTTCGCGAACGCATTCTTGGAAGTCTTGTCGACCGCCACAACCGAAGGAGGCACCCAGAGCGCCGGGTTCTTCTTGAAGAAGTTGGACGCCCTGATCATGACGCCGACAGGCTCGGCCGGCATCACGGGGAAATCCTCGGTGCGCGGGAAGTGCGTCAGGCCGAACTGCACATAGCAGACGATATCGGTGTTCTCAACCGACTCGTTCCTGTTCACCCAGTCGACGACGGTCTCGTTGTAGGGGTGTCCCTCTTCGCCGCTCGATTGACACACATAGTCACCCGCGGGGAACAGTTCATAGTCCTTGTACGGGGTAACCCACAGCGCCTTGCGGGCGAAGGCGGCACGCTTCCAGATCATGCTTCCCGGCTTGGCAAGGAGGGCAGGGCAATTGTTGTTGAGGATCTTGTAGG